GTCCAAATAAGGAGATGTGTTAATTCTACAAGTTCCTGGAACTCCAATGAAGTGATAAACACCATAACTCCCAAATATATTCCTTCTTTTGGTGCTTTGATATGATGTGGAGATTATACCCTTGATACTAAGCCCACAATAAACTAGCATTATTTATATGGTGTTTACACATGTTTTTTAACTGCTGATTAGGGTCAGAGACTAACCTGCCGCAAATCCTGATTCAAATTTAAAATGTAGCAGCTGAGAATCCTGAATTAAGTTATTATCTTCTACACGCCTTATTAAAATCCAAAACCTACCTGTCGCGCACCCTCATTGGAACCGTGTGCAAATGAGCGGCAGTAGCTCAGGGTAGCTCACTCTTTAGGGACTTATATTGGGAACCAGATGGTTGCCGGCTCAAGAAACATAACTGTAGAGCAACCTGATTTCAATCTGAAACCTACCTGCCTCCAGACCATGAACTCCCAAACCTAACTGCTGCACACCACCAGTTATCTAGCGCTCAGCACTCAGACAACATTTGCCTATTCTTGAACTCACATTGGCATGTCCCGGCTTCAAGCCACCTTGGGATTTTAATTGCAGTTTTATTGGCCTCATCTTTTCTACACCAGTGAGTCCAAGCCCAGAGAGAGCTTTGCAGTGTAAGTGTCTTAAAAACTTAAATATTTTTCTGATGTAATGCTACAGAAATGTGAAACTGTAAATGTATGTAAAATCAACTGGTAAGGTTGGACCTGTTGTTCACCAGGAATAATTGAAAAATTACTCCACATAAAGTGTTGGTGAAAGAGAAAAATCACTTTAACTTTCAGCTTGATCACCTTTCATTCTGACTTCATTGTCAGAAATTTTAGAGCATTTCCTCAATCTTGACCAAAATTGATTTTAAGAGATGTCCACATACCAACATTAACATGTGTTATTCTGATACAGCCTATGTATCAGCAGTCCACACACTCTTCACTGTTTGATATTCACAGGAAAAATGGCCTTTTGGTTTGGAGCGAATATTGTCCAGAAATCTGACAATTGCCATAAAAGCCAAGAACAGAGATGTGCAAATCTGACAGAAAGTACATGATTTTGTCTATTCTGTATATGTGCAATTCATGCGTGTAGCTCCCCTTTGAAGATGATGGATGTCTGCTGAGTCACTGCCACAGGCCAATCTCTACCCCGCTCAGTGCATTAAAGCAGAAAATATTGCTGAGTTTGACCCACTGGCCACGTAAGTTCACAGAAAGCTGATTTATTAAGAAGGGAATACGCTCAGACAGGGGGAATCAATTTCATATTTATAAATTAGAACGGGATGGCAGGGAGAATTGATGATAAATTGTGAAGGCTGCATTTCTTAAAGATATATATTGAGGTATAAAGAGCCAACACATCATAAATATAGCTGGTAACCAGGCTAAGGCTATCCTTAAATCAGATTTAATTGTAATCCAGCTTTTATTCGTTTTTTTCTAAACAAGACATGGGGATTCAGACTGATTAAGCCAAGTGTGCTGAAACGTGAATATTCTCCCTCTCATTCCTCTTTCTTTTTGGTATGACTCGAAGGTCGTCGCGGGCTGTGAAGTGGACAGACCTGTCAGCGGAGAGGGCAGCCCAGGGAGTCGCGCAAACAGAGAAGGAATTCAAATCAGCCTGGGGTATTCAAGACAAGGCCACGGAGCTGAAAACTTCTTCTACAGAGTGTGAAAGATGTCTCCTCTGATCTGAGCAGGGAGGAAAGGATGGGCACACTCCTCCTGCTGCCTCAGGCCTCCCCTTCATTGACTTTGTAACCATTTGTGAAAATGACAAAGTCTTTAAATGGCACAATTATGCACTATAGATGAAAACAAGTGTGGAAAAGGAACATTAAATTCCTCGGTTACATTCCTCAAGGGCAGCAGAGTAATGGCATCTCTGGGCCGGGAAGTATTATGAAGAAGCACCAAAGAGCAGCAGAACACATTATGTCATTGTCTCTGAGTTTACAAACCACTTCAGGGACCAGAATAAGGAGAAAATTACTTGAAGCTTGTGGTTGGAAAAGAAACCGCCTTCCGCTTTCCAAGCCAGACTCACATGTAGGAGCAATTTAGGAAGGCCAAAACAGCACAAAAGGACTTGTGATGACTGGGAGTGATTAAGCCTTGCAAGCTATCGCAGACTGCTGATAGAAATCCTTTTCATTCCTTATCTACGTCTCACTGTGTTACCGCCTCCGCCTCTGTATTGCATCCATATCTCTCTATTATCTGATATAAAGATTGCATTGGGAGTGCATCAAAATAAACGTCAGTCAGCATCCTGAATGTATGATAAAGAACACAATATGACATGTTGTGTGGGGGGAAAGACAAAAGGGTTTTTGAAGTTGACAGTGAAGGACAATAGAGAAAAGAGGGAGAAAAAATACTGCGGTGGCGTTTCTGAAACTTGCCACAGTTCAACTCCAAGTCCATGAGATCTGCCTGCAGCCTGCCGGCTCAGAAATATATTAATATTTCATTTGAGGCTGGGTCTCTAGCCAAACATTATGTAGAGAGGGAGAGAAGAAAGCCATGCTGGCCCTGGAGTGTGCAGGTCTCACATTGAATTGTGAAGTCATAAATGAATGTTTCAAAACGGCAGAGCGGGTGGAGCGTTAAAGGCTCCGGAGAGGACCATAAATCATTTGGCCACACGTACGCCTATAGGCCTCACCGTATCAAAGAGCTCTCTCAGCATCTCTGTAACACATCTTCTTCCACTCAGCTATGAAGTGTATGATGGAGAAGATTGTTTTTATGCGTGACATGTGATATCAATGCATGCATCATTCATTTGAAAAATAACTGAGCAACCCGTGTAGAGGATATTCTCACAGGTTTAATGAAAAGGACATCAACCAGATATGTTTTAACTGAAATATATCTACAAGAAAGTAGGGAAATTATATTGCATTCCTGAAATGTTAGAAAGTTGCCTGAACAATTGCATTGCATTCAGCAAAATGGCAACATTAGCTCTGTAAGGCTGCTGCGTATTGTTTTTAGTACAGTACTTTATGTTGACACCTGGTTGCATCGCTGTGGTTGTGAAAGGAGAAAAACAAGTACTCTTTTGTGCAGGAGTTATTCTGGTATTCCACTGGTTTATGTTTGAGTGCAGCTCAGCAGATTCCTCTCTCCTGGTGTTCTCTGGACTAACTTGCAGTTTGCTCATAGTCACAGTGAATTTCTCCAAAACCTGCTAAAGATTGCCCCCTGGTGTTTGAAAGAAGGCAACATGACTCAACCTTCAACACCAGAGCAATAATGGATTGATAAATAGCTTAGAAAAAACTAAAACCACTGTCACTATCAGCAGAAAATGTAACTGTTTTATGTTAATTTTATTATTATTTTAAATCTACACAATGAAGAGAAACTATCAAGCTGACAGTCCATATTGCCCTTTGTGCACCAAAACCAACTGTATCATTTTAGGATCACATATTTAGGAGAAAATGGTTTAAAATGAATATGTTTTTTATGCAAAAACAAGATAAAAGACCCTGATATCACTTCAATACCAATGTTTTACAGTTCTAAAGGAATTCCAACTAAATTCGAAAAAAAAGGAACAAAATATCATAACGATACAAATATGCTATATGGCTTTGGTTCAGTTGGTAGAGTCGGGAGGGTCGAGGGTTCAATCCCCACTTAACCCTGCATTGCTCCCACTGCTTCGGTTGCGGTGTATGAATGGATTAGTGTTGTACTTACTCTCTGATGTATGTCACTTTGGATAAAAGCGTCTGCTAAGAAAATTTAAACATTGTAAAATTGTAACATGTTATTCTACAGTGGAAGAGCATAATCAGACTTAAGCTGTTATTTTAGACAGCAGATTTGATCCATATGAAATATCCAGTTAAATATGTCGATGAAATATGAATGAATAATTGTTACTTTTTATATCAGGTAACTATTTTGGGTGTAAGCTGATTTATTTTGTGACAAAAGCAGCCAATTTATTAAATGTGTTTGCTAATTCGGTATAGTCGTCAACATTTTAATATTGCAGGAAATAATTTAAAACTGTGCTGTAAAATAAATCTATAGTGTTAATAAGAGGCTACGCGTGAAGTAAGCTGTATTTATTCTAACAAATATTTGCCCTCCTGGGGCTGCCTGCTTTGGATTTTGCAGATGATGGAGGTTTAGGTCGGATCAGGTGATGAGTTGTCCATGCTGTCTTCAGTTCTTCTTCACCTGCATCCCCACAGTTTGGGGTGTCGTGCTGAGCTGACCTCAACTTCTCTCTCTCCAAGCTCACCTGCATGGTCTGCTTTAAAACCGCTTTGTATTTTTCATTCATCCGCTTCACTTCAGGCTCGTAGTCGTTGCACTGCCCTTTCAGTTTTTTCATTTCCCCGATAAGCCTGCTCTTCTCTTGGACAACACGCTTATGCTGCAGCCTGTGGAGGTCTCTTTCTTTCCGGACCCCCTGCAGTGTCTCGGCTGCGGAAGAGCCGGCCTCGCGGTACTCTTCGCGCTCCCGCTGCGCGTTTTTAAGCGCTCTCTCCAAACGCCTGTTTTCAGTGTACACCTCCGGCACCGCGCCAACCCGCCCTGTATCCAGCAGGCCTTTCTGCACCAGCTCGGTCCACTCTGCCTGATAACAGTCGAGTGTTTCTATCATACCCATTTGAAAGAGAAAGCAGCGTAAGAAGTCATCGACGGCCTCAGGTGTGACCTCCGCGGCGGAGGTTGTGTTGGCTCCAGAAGCAGCCGCACTGGCCTCTTTTATAGCTTTCACTGTCGCCTCCAAATCTTCTTCTCCCTCTATAAAACTACGCTCATCTTCAAGACAAACTTCTTCATACTGAAAGCCGTCATCGCTTTCCTCTTTTCCTCGGTTTCCGTTGACTGCACTCATCGTTTCTTTTCAGCCGTGCGGCGTGGAGGACGCTTTGTGTTGCTATGGTGACGCTGAGTCGTCGGAAGAGTTCAACAACGCGATATTTCACGAGTTCACGTTTTCTCAGCCGCCGTCAAACAATCATGGCGGACTACCAAGAGGCGCCCTTGGCCAGTCGGCCAAAAACGCTGGACCCGAGCGAGTATTTCAACCTTTCCGCCGAAAAGCGACGTGCCGATGAAGACAGAGCAGCAATACGAGCGAACCTGAAGAGGCAATATCAGACGCAGCTGAATGACCCGCACAGGAAGGCGCTCGTTGTAAGTGGCTACCTGCGTGCTAACTAACAAGCTAACAATGTCACCTTTGTAAATGTTGCAGGAGAGTTGTAACAGTAGCTTCGTCGAATGAACCAATGCACTCATTCATTCAGACTTTTCACAAGACAACAATACAAGAGCGTGTTTGTGCATTTGTGTTAACACCAAGAACAGGATGGCATTACTGGAAACCATCAAGTTATAAAGCTCTGGCAAACATCAAACTAGCCATTTCCAGAAGGTTAGCCAATGTTGTTTATGTCCTTACATAGATTATCAAACCAGTGTTAGACTTAATGCCCAGTTGAATATTTACCCTGATAATGTACGTACAATTTCATGATGAAATATTCCCGCTTATAGTGTTATTTTAATGAAAATGTGAAGCTTTAACAAAGACAAAAGACCTGAGAAAAAATGACTTTAAAGTATTTTTGTTGTCCAGGCAGAATATTGGAAATTTGGCAATTCTTTGTCTTTTTAATGAGGTTATTAATGTGCATAACAATCTTTAGCTCAAATATGACCTTTGACCCTTTATTTGGAAGTTAAGGTACTCTGCCTTTTTCATTGCCTGTACAATAATAAAGGCGTCATGCCAAGGCAAAAGGCATTCACTTCCATTTGTGACTGTGTTTCACTTGGTTGCATGGTTAAAGTAACACAACCAAACACTATTTCTTTGCTACACTTTAGTCAAGCTACTGTGTGTGTGTGTCAGAAGTGCTTGATGACAGAAGACACAACACTTTAACTCCACTGCAGTGAAACAGTAACTTCACTTTGATCCGCAGCAAAACAAAGACCCTGATGAGTGAAGTTACTGGACTCTGCCTTGGTTTTCTCGAGGGCTTTTGGATGTTAAGGCAAATACAGCCTACTATTTTCTCAAAAAAAAAACAACAACACAATTGACTCAAGATATCTGTCCACATGATAAAGCACATCTGTAATGTTCCAAAAATGACAAAAACTCTTCTTTTTTTTTTTAATTGAAGTTACTGCCTTTTCCCTTTTTGTAGGGCAGAATAGTGCCTCCTTAAATAAGTAAAATGTGATAGTTTACAGCGTAAATGCTCGAACAATGACGACTGTACTTAAAGTAATGTTAAATGTCGTGCAAAATATGTATAAAATACATTATTGTCACGTTCAGTATTTTGTGATGGAACCAAGCCAACATTAAGTGTAATACATAAACCTGTGAAATTAAGGAAATAATTAGTCATATTGATTAACACCTTCGCGTAACACAGAGTAAGCAATCTCTTGAATGGAGATTAAAAAAGGTCGAGGTAAACTAGAAGAGATACGATTATTTTACAAAGATTTTGATTAAACTTGCAGGTGAAAAAAAGGGGTTCAAATCTGAGGACAAAAACAAGGATGAATGTCTGCGTTCCAATAAGCGATTAGTTATTTTTGCCTCAGATTAGGACACTTGTCAAGTAGTCCTCATCACACTGGGTGCAGGTGCATCTCCTGGTCCTCACACTAGTTGATGGGTTAATCCCCCCCCCACCTCCCCAACTGATTCTCTCAAGCTGTCCCAAGATGAAGGCTGAAAGTCTAATAATAAAAAAAAAACGTTTTATACTCTTGTTCACTTGAATTGGTGTAGATATGATTGGATTTGCGTTACGTTAATAAAATTCACTTGCGTTTAATACAGTCATATTGCTTGCCAACACAGTAAGAGATCCCAACTGTTTTCTATCATCTTGAAGACTAATGTTTGATTTTATCTTTTGAAGACAACATTTGTGTCCTTTTTCATTGTAAACATTCAGTATACACGGGTCGTCATTAAAATCCATTGCATCATTCTGTATTTACAGGACGATCCTGCCCTGACACGCTGGGTGTATGCACGCGCCAACCCCTACCCATTCTTCAGGCCCACGTTCAAGACTTCTCTGCTGGGTGCCATGTTTGGAGTCGTACCTCTCGTCGTTCTGTACTACGTCTTCAAGACAGACAGGGTATGACTTGATCTCTTTTTTAAATCGAATACCAAAAAGTTTTGAATGAATAACACAACTCGTTTTTGTCTCCTTAAGCTGCAGCTCCATTTTACTACATCATCCATGCATCCTTGCTTGCATTAGTAAATTATTTGTCTACTGACATGACAGAGGTTACAACAGGCCTGAAAATACATCAATTCTGAGCACAAATAGATCATTTGAGATTTTTTGTTGCTGTTTTAGTTGCCCTGTTTTTTTAGGCTAAATGACATGCTAGAATGATAGACTTAATTATTTACTCATGTTAGAATAATCTTTCATTAAGTGCAAATGTCTGATCTTTATTTCCAGACCTACTGCTCCCTGTTATTAAATCTATCTGCTTTATTTTAATCAATACTAAAGTGTTAGTGACTTTACACACATACAACCAGTTATAAGGAATACTTTCTCCTTATGTCACAGTTGATTCACATTTGAAATGAATGCTGCCCTGCTTTCATTTTCCTCCCTATTGTCATGGAGAATCACCGTCTAAACCCTGGCTAGTAGAGATCAGATTACAGTGAGAATTTGGTGCATTTGTCCCATGCACGGCTCTAATGTTTGTCCTTCTATGTGGAAGGGTAAGAAGATGAAGGTTTGATATCTCTGCCACAAAAACCGATTTACCCATCAACTGTTTGTTTTCTGTGTTACAGGATAGAAAGGAGGCCATGATCAAGGCTGGAACCCTCGAACGCAAGTTCTGTTTGTCATCATGAGTCACCCTTTATGTCCTAGTGTTGCAAGTGTGTGTAATTATAAATCAAATAAAATGCTATATTCAAAAACAGTCACGTGGTTTTGATTTGTGAGGCAAAAGTTGGAATGCTGAGAAAATACACACTTGAGTAATGTATGAACTATTAAAACGTTGACAGAATAGGATTGCGAAATGCAAAAAAGCTAGGTCAGGTTTTATGATGTACACTGGACAAGTGACACAGAAGTGCAGGACAGATAGTTGATGGATGTATTTAGTTTGAGTTACTTGAGCAGAAGAGAAATTATTGACATCGATCTATTCAACAGGAATAACTAACATTTGAGTTCAACAAATATCAGATTAATATTAGTTCTATTCAATGAAGTGAAATTACAGTTCTTATCAGTCATATTTTGGTTCAATGATCTTCTGGGGGGGGGGACTTCACTGCTGTTTGCTGGGCTTCCAGTTTGGGTCAAAGTGGCTGCGGAGAGGTTCCCAGCACTGGTAGTAGCTCTTGTCAAGTCTCTGACACGTTTGCAGACCCCACTTGGTCACTGCCATACTGAAGGAGGACTCAAACATGAAAGCCTGAAGGAAGGAAAGAATACATTTACCTAATCTTTAAATAATAAAAAAAAAAACATAGTTGATCTTGAAACTTTAGTCATATTTTTGGTTACCATGGTTCCCTCTGCAACCCTTTCAGGTTTGAGCTCAGCGTTGCTGCACTTCTCAAAGCATTCAGCATCCGGGCCATGAGGCGTCATCATGCTGTGCAGACTGGCCCCTCCGGGTTGGAAGCCCTCCTCTTTAGCCTCGTAGTGGCCTTTGATCAGACCCATGAATTCGCTCATGCAGTTACCTAAAGTGACAAGCAGGTGGAGGTATAACACAACACTGTGGTGCAGGTTGAAGCTTTTCCAAGAAGCTAGCTGTAAAACTAATCTCCACGAGATGGTGTGATTGATCTGTGCATTTAACAGACAAAAGGTGCTGTGAAGGAAAAGAGTCACAGAGCAGGTTGGTTGTTGTCACCTACTGTAATTTACTCAACCAGTGGATAAGATAAATTGGCACATTATCTTCTGACTGGCTTGTTTCATTTAATGACAGAACAAAAATTGAAATCACTCTTCAAATAAGGATTCAAATTGGGTCTTGTTTTGACATTTTAACTCTTGAAAGTAATATCATCCTGCTTTCTCCTCTCCTAAAATGTGAACAAGCAACTTTAAACATGAAGCAAGGCATTGTGGTCTTACGGTGATAGTACGGTGGACGGAAGGTGTGGTCGGCCACACCCCACCTAGGGGGGAAGATGACAAAGTCTGCGATGGCCACGCCAGGTCGTGTGGATTTGGCAGTCAGGACAGTGAAGATAGATGGATCCTAAAGGAAAGTAAAAATGTGACCTTAGGGGCTGAAAACACAGAGAGGTGAGGGAATTTGTGTGTCTGTGTCTGTGGACTCTCACCGCATGGTCAAAGGCCACACAGTTGATAACCATGAAGTTGGTCAGGTTGTATTTGTACGGTGTATAGTTCCCATGCCAAGCCACCACATTGAACGGAGAGAAATCCTATGCAGAGCACAGAACAAAACAAATAAGACAAGTCTACCCCAGCAACAAACACAAAAGACTTTAAATTGAGCTTTTCACATCGAAAAAAGGAATAATGAATAATGTCTTTGTAATCTTAAATTCCCAGAGAGTACTTCTTGACATAAAGAGATGAAAAAAAAATGGTAATAATGAAACGGGTTGATTGTGAAAGAGGGTGTGCTTCTTTCATTCTTTCGTCGCTTTCATTCCCCCTGTTCTTTGTGAAGCGAGGCTCCAGGTATTATGGGGTAATTGGCTTCACAATCAAACTTTCCCAAACTTGAGCATTTTGATGCTCACTTGGCACAGTTATGTGGGGGAGGGGAGGGGGGGGCAGCTGTAACAGTGGGTGCAGAGATATTTCTTTATCTTGATTGTTAAAACCACAGCAATTTTATATAGTTTCTCTGTTCTGATAATGTCACTGCGAAAAAAGACATTCAACAGCAGCTCTGAAATCAATATAGTTCATTACAACTCGAGCAGCCTCTTGCGTGACCTGCGTGCTCCTTACACACATGCGCAGGAACACTTCGACACACGAACAGCCAATACACACATCGCATAAAACCTCTCACACATATGCATACACAAAAATGTTCTTTAAGCACTTAACAACCAAGAAAAACCTTAAACTGATACATCATTTACAGTTAGTTAGCATACAAAAAAGGCCTTCAGGAAACCTGGTGCAGGAAATCTCTTGGACATTCAACCGCGGTAACTCCACTACATTCAATTAAAACGAAGGGAAAAAGGGAGGAGAGTGAACACTGGCGCACAAAACACAAACATATTGGCCCAGTCAAGCAAATAATAAGTTAATTTGAGCAATTTCAGCACTCTGCGGGAGATCAAAACAGCAGGACCAGACGGGAGCTGCAGCATCTTTCCTAAGACGAGGCCCCTGAGTCTCCTCCACCTTATTTTTTCTTACCACTGTTGCCTCACCCTTTGTTTTAGTAAGGGTACATGCGTGGAAAAGGGTGTAAGGTGCAGTCCGGAGGCTCCACCTCTGACACAAAACCGGCAGCAGATACTCAACAGAGGCAGCAACAGTCATTGACAATTTTTGTTTTGCTATATAAGACAGTATCTTTCCCTTGTGTACTTCCTCAGATGAATAATAACAGTGTGGTTTGACATGGTTTCCACGGTTACAACCCCTCAACCCCCTGCCCTCAAACATCTACTCCCACCTCCTCCTGTCTCGACGAAAAACCTCCTGTCAAACATTATGGGTCGATCCAATTATGCACCCAACAGGACATTTCAGGAGGGGCAGGATCATTTCAGGAGCCAAATATGGTGAAATGAATGCCTAACTTTGGAAGGTTTTTTATTTATTTTTATTTTTTTTAGAAAGTGGGCTTCACAGGTACACTGTCTCTAACTCCATTATATGCCTTAACTAATTATGAGTGATTAAGACTCACAACGGGGACGAAGCGGAAACCTGCTGCATGGTATACCAGCTAATGCTTCCATATTAACGGGGATTCTGTTCCTGCAGTTCAATCTGCAGGAACAGCTAATGGATCTTATGCTTCACTTGAACAGTTTCCTGTTGCGGTTCGATGGGTTTTACTGAAGCAAAAACAAACCTGCATAGGGTAATAGGCCACATATGGCAAATATCGAGGCCTCTTTCATTGAGCTTGTGTGTACATTTGATTGTAGAGTAACCACACAAGAATAACACCTGTTGGCTGGCGAAGAGCTTTCCTTGGTACTTGTTGATGACGGTGTAACCTGTGGCCACTTTGCGATCCTCGTACCAGGCAACTGGACACAGGAAATCTCTGGGGTTGGCCAAACCATTGGCACCTGCACAACATCCATACAGAGTTATACATCTGCACATACCAGTATACATTATAAAGTAGCACCTTCATAAACCATTATACAGTCCTGCTAGCAGCTCTGTGAGGTTGTACTTTGGTATGGTTGTGCTCTGAGTTAAAAACTAAAATGGACATGCTAACGTGCTCAAACCAACAATGCTAACATGATGATGTATGCTTACTATTTATGTATGTGTGGGTGTGAATGTGTGTGTAGATGTGTGGCTGTACCTGCACTGTTCATTACGTTTCTTAATTATTACATATTTATGGTTTTAGTAACACACTTGTGGAATTTAATTATTATTTAATTGACACGTTTTACTGATGAATGAATGTATTTTGATATGTCGCTACTGCATCAGAGCACTGTGAAGTCCAAGGCAAATTTCCCACTGGGACAATAAAGTTAATCCTAATCTATATTAGTTGAAGCTCAGTTTGCTGCCAGTAACATTTGCTCATTAGCTCTCAAACCAAAGTTAGATTTGCAGGAATAATGCACACTATTAAAAAAAAACACACGGTACATATTTATAGCTCTTCATGTTCAATCAAGAGATAAAGAGAGTTATTATATTTCATAAGACGTAAAGTTTAACCTCATCATGCATTAGACAAAAGTCAGGGGTTCACTATAGACTTTTGGATTCTTCCTGTGGAGAGCATGAATACTTGTACAAAGTCTTACACCATCCTATAGATGTTAAGATATTTTGTTCAGGAGCATTATGGTGAACTGGAAAACTGACACATATTTTAATCTCTAAAGCTGTGCTGCCCGTTTGGGTGAAAACACAGATGTGAGAAGAACGGGAAAATTTATATTGGTGACAATGGGAAATTGCAGGACATAGACATAAAGAGATTATTATGAAGAGGTCAGCGGATGAATAGAACTAGATGCTTCCACACACAAACATGTTTAAACACATACCTATGGGTCCCAGATCAGGGAGTTCAAAATGGGCTCCATACACCTCCAGGATATAGCCTCTAGTTTCTCCAAAGACATCCACACTGAAGCGCATCCCTTGCTGGAGAAAACAAATGAGAAGTGGTGTTGAAAGGAAATTGAATGCTGTTATATGAATTGTAGGATGATCTGTTGCAGAGTGGACTTGGGTTCATGGACTAATGTGTTTGGGAAAAACTCAAGCTCTGCAATTGGGAAATTGTTGTGGTCAAGCTTTTCTTCGCCCAAAACCACTTTCAGCTATTATTCATGTTTTAAGGTCACTTTCAAAATGTTCAAAACTCTGACACTCTGAATATGGTAGTGCGGCGAGTTGGCAAACACAATGATATATTTTAAGATGAATACATAGACCTCACCTGGATCACACAGATCTCGTTGGGCTCGACCATCATCTTCCCAAACTCTGTGGTGATCAAGATCTCACCCTGCTGGGGGACTAGAAAGACAAACAGACCAAGGCGATGGAAAAAAAAAAAAAGGAAATATGAGGGAAAATAAGTGCTGAGAATGTCTTTGTTCTTCTGATAGATGACAGTGAAAACATCAACATCTCTCTCTTTCCTCACCAATCAAAAAGTCTCCGTCGGAGTTGTTGAAGCACCTGAAACAAGGGGGAAAAAAAGAGAGCTTTGAAATGATTGTCAAAGTAACCAAAGAT